AGATATATTCTATCGCTCCATTACCTCCCTATTGATTGAAGGGCTGGATTTGATGTGTTAATCCGCTCTCCCTGGTGAAAGATTCCTGTCTTTTGAGACACTAAACACACACACACACACACTCACACACACACTCTACTGAGAGAAAAAAAAAGTAATCAGCTGAGAATTTTACAAGGCTCCTCATTCACCTCGCAGTCTCCTGAAAGCCTTTGATCAAGAAGTGCTTAGGTTTCACATAAACGGTTGGATACCTTTCAGAGACCATGCTAAGCACACAGCTACTTTGGGGATTTAGTCGACTTTAATGCCTGTTTTCAGAGCTTTTCTGTGGTATTTGAGCCAACACGTTAGCTGAGGTGCTCAGCGAGTTATGAACCGCCACACAAGTCGATATCGCGGAGGCCAACGAATGCGAGATTTTCACGAAAACACAGGCTCACACAGAGGCTGCTGCTTTGCTGAGGGACAACAAAGGATTGTGACTCAAAGTTGTGGAGGATTTCAAAACCTTTCTTTGTCAGCTCTTCATAAAGTTTTGGATTTTTGTGTTTAATTATGTGGAAACTGCAGTTATGAAACTGGGTTAACATCACAAATGAGACGAAATCTTCGTTATGTAAGCCGTTAATCTAAAGTTAAACCACTTGCAGATTTCACACACTGCTGGCAATAAGAAACAGAACTCAGTCAGTGCAAGTTATTTACTTTAATTATAATTATAACGATAGCATCTCCATCTTATTAAAACTCTACCTCTCTGTCTGGGATTGCACAGGTTAAATCCTCCCTGAATTAAATGGCATCAAATCCCCTGTCCTCTGACGAACACGCCCAATTTCTGCAGACTGTGCCCCATTTTTGTGGCATTTACCGGCTGAAGAGACATCTTTGTTTGGAAACACTCTGCAACTCTCCAAAGTCCCGAAACAAGGCGAGTGTAATGAACCGATTGGAAATCCTTATCAAATAAACATGTTTGTGAGTGTGTGACTGGATGAACCTGTGCGTGTGTGTGTTTGTCTCATAAATGTGTGAGATGCTTCAGAATACCCCTGTGTCACCTGCACTGAGACCTTTTGTTGTTCCCGTCTGAAAGTCTTTAACCTCTTTTTGACAAAGACTTCTTAGGTCCTTGATATTTGAGGGGGATTGCCTTTCTCACATGAACCACACAGCAGGGGGTCGCCAGTGTTTGATAAACTCTCGACTTTACATTGTCTGCTCAAAACGAGACTATTTCACTTCGTTGACAGAAGCTAAATTATGGGGCAAAGTCATGTCACCACCGAGCTGTGATTGGAGGTTGTTACAGAGGTAGACGGGTTCACCATAGAGAGCTGGCAGAACTTCATGTTACTTTGAGGTTGTGTAAAGCTTGCATTCTTAATGAGCACCTCATGCATATAAAACAATAATCTGGAACATTGTTAGGTTCAATGTAAAGGTACAAAAGTGGAGTCACGGAGAAGTCTTAAAGGGATATTCCGACGCAAATTTAAAAATGGCTTCGATTTTTTGTGGGGAGCCCTGATGAGTCGATCACCAAGTGCAGCAGAGTTTCGCAGCTCAAGGAAGAACATTTACGATCATTACTTCATGGAAATGCAATCAGACTAAGACGCTAACCCCCAATTTCCACTGCATCTGGAACGGCTATGACAAGGCCGTATCTGCCGATCGCAGCTGATCAGAACCATTCAAGTTAATGTGTCAATTTCCACTGGCTTCTTTCCGTTCCGCTGCAGATCGGAAGAGTTCTATTTTTTCCAGACGCCGGAGCATGCCGGATAAATTCAGCACAGATTAACCCGTGCTTGAAAGGAAGTCGGGCACAGACACAAAATAAAACAGTCAGTGTTTCAGGCGGATTGTATTGATTGTTCTGGGTTGATTTCACTACATGTATGAAGACAAAGATATAGTGAAAACTCATGAAGTTCTAAAAACTGCAGTTCCTTGAGTGTCCACTTGAGGCTAGATGCAAATGCTGCAAAAGCCACATACACACCCATACGAAACAGCTCATCTGAGCGGCAAAATCGATCATGTTCACAGCCAGGCACAAACTACTATTTAGGTCTTTCGAGCTCATTTTTCTACCTGCACACAGTGTGGAAAAGGTGACTTTTTGAACCACTTAGTTCTGAGGATGTTAAAAGTTTTGCAAACATAACGACACAGCTGTACTTGTTTGCAAGGAGGCCAAGAGCTTACCTCAACTTCGCCTGTTTGGCCAACCTTGAAAGCGGCAGCAGAAGTAGCGAACATTATTAAGTCGATGTAACTTCACCTTTTGTTGGCATTTTGACATTTCCAGGCTACCTTCACTCTTTAACGTGTACCATCAGCTGGTCTGTTAACACCAATAACCTCCATTTTAAAGTATATTTCTCGGCCACTTTAGGGTCTGTCACCTTGCTTGAAAATTGACGCAGTGCCTAATAGTTTTGGGACCTGACAAAAATTGTCAGATGTCTTTTAAAGGAACCTTTTGCTAAAGGGAAAGCCTTTGTTGAGCTGCTGTGACGCAGATGGTCTTGAAATCCAAATAAATCAGATATACTGGCCTCTACTTGCCATTATGACTCATTGAGGCTCGAAAAGGTAACTGCGACCAAAAGCTACAGTTAAATCACATCAAATTTTAAGTATCCGCATTTCCGAGGAAGTTGCATGCCATGTTTTGATTGAATTATTGAATTTGTTCCTCCTTGTGTGCCCTGTCTTCTTTGTTTAGTTTATTCCTTTCTCTCCAAACCGCAGTACGCCTCAGTGCAAACCTACACTTCCACTTTCTGTTGTTTACATACAGTTCCTGACCAAAATAACACACCAGGCTTTTTTCTCCGAGTGGAACTCCCTGATTTATTTCCTCGTCTTTTTCTCCGTGTAGGGAATCCCTGTTCTTACAGTAAGACAGTGTCCGACTTACCTTTAGGCAAAAAAATGCACAGCCTCGACGTTTTCCAGTGGCCGGCGCTCTATTGACAAAAAAATTACACTCACATTCGAGCACCGCCGCCCCCCCTGAATCAAAGCGCAGAGCAGTGAAAGGTTAAAAGCTCCTGGGGCCTGCAGACACATTTTTCAGGGGGGCGGGTAATAGGATCAGGGCTTCCATAACTCCCCAGAACAGCCAATCCTCCCTCGTTTCTGCCCGTTTAGCCTTCAAAGGGAAAGTTAGTGTGGCTGTGACGGCTGGTCAAAGGGGTTAAGAGGAGAGTGCATTTTTTTGGTCACAAACTCAATTTCCTTGGTGAGCTGAAGAGGCCATGCTTTAAAACCCAGAGCATAAAGCTTGTTTAATTTGTGCCACATATAGTATCCTCCCAAACCTCTCACTCAAAGTCCTGCTTCAGTAAGCAGTAAAAGAATGTCAAACCAGCTTTTTGAGTCCCAAATCTTGACCTTTTTTTAAAACATCATCAGGAAAATACTCAATACTGGTGTCATCTTGTTATCTTTAAGAAGACAGTTTGTCAGCCAGTGAAATCTGAGAAAACAAATGAACCCACAAGAGCAACTGTAATATGTTTTTATGTTATTTTAAGTGGCAGCCCTCAATAGTTCAAGTACAAAAGAGGATTAGGGCCACAAGAAGAAAAAATATATATTACAGAAGGGAGAATCTTTTTTCATTTCCATTTCGCGATTAAAGTTGAAATTCAAAAAAGTCGAGATTAAAAATAAAATCGGAATTACGTGAATAAAGTCGAAATTTCGACTTTGATCTCAAAATTTACATTTTTTTGATCTTGAAATTTTGACATTATTCATGACATTTCAACATTTTGTTATTTCGATATTTCAATTTTAATCTCGAAATTTTAAACGTTAATCCCGAAATTTCTGCTAAATTGACATAATTTCAATTTTTACCTTGAAATTTCAACTTTGATCTCGAAATTACTATTTTTAATCACAAAATCTAGACATTATTTACAACATTTGGACATTTTGTAATCTCGAAATTTCTACTTTATTCTCATAATTTCAATTTTTAATCCCAAAATTTCTACTTTTTTGACATGATTTTAATTTTCTAATCTCGAAATTTTGATGTTATTCAAAACATTTTGACATTTAGTTATCTCAAAATTTCTAGTTAAATCTTGAAATTTTAATTTTCAATCTTGGAATTTCTACTTTATTAATATGATTTAAATTTTTAGTATGGAAATTTTGACTTTAATCTCCGTCCTGTAATTTTTTTTCTCTTTATGTGGCCCTTATCCTCTTTCGTATTCAAGGGCAACCTATAATGTGAGGTTAATAAGTCAGGGAAAATAGAGCACTCAGATTAATTTATGATCTTGTAATGGAACACAAGTAATTTCATGAAAAAAAGGTAACAGCAATAGTGTGAAGAGATCCGTGTAAATGTAATCCACAGCATTAGACAGTCGTCCAAGCTTCTCAACTCAAACACAGCACGGCAAGTCTGAAAGAAGTCCTGCGACTGAAGTAGAATTTCAGGGTTGAAAACTGTTAAAATCAACATCATCATCAATATGAAAGAAGCTACTCAGCTAAAGTGGGGCTCATTCTTCGAGATAATTGTACCAATTTTTGGTCCAATCCCCCCTTCAGATAAAATTCAGCCAAGGCTCAGTTATGATGGTTTGAAAGATGATCTCCCCACATTATCGTGTTGTGTGAGATGTGATAAGAAGCAGATGATCAGAGCCACCCTGACCCCAAAATGCTGATGTTGATTTAATGTTCATACACCATGGTTTAGCGTCTCGTTCTGGCCTTAACCAGCTCTCCTGTTTACCTCACAGGACTTATTTTTCACCAGGTCTCATCACAGGATGTATTTTATCTGTAGTAATTTTAGACATCTCGACTGCGAGCAGCTTTGACACTGTGGTAATCTGTTCTAAAAGTAACTCAGCTCACCTACATGGCCTTTGTATCACATACACGCCTCTACAATGTGATCAATTATCACCGTGCCTCTGCGGCTTCATGCCCGAGTGCCTGAACTGCTCGTCTCATGACCGCAGCAAATACATTGTAGCCGTCATCACTTGAGCATGAACGCTGTCCCCGATAATTAAAAGAGCTCCATTGTCATGCAGCAGAGCTGCTGTTCCGATGCGTGCGGAGCCGGGATCGGATGACGATGACGGGGCGAGTGTGGAGCGCAGAGTAGGTGACGAGGGGGGCAGGGTCCCTGAGGGTGACCTCGGCCGGGCTCCGCTCACCAGCTGCTGCTTGAAACGGGACACCCGAGCCCCTCTGCTGCCATCCACCTGGATCACTTACCTGACACACATATGCCGCATACACACACAGATGCAGATGCAAATGCCAACAGTATCTCTTTCTTACTGCACTGTATAGTCATCCACACATTTCCCCTTTCAGGAGAACATAAATTGCTGTGGAAAGTCGACCTAGACGCAGCTGGGAGCCAATATTTTCAGAACTTAGTGGAGAGGCTTTGACTGACTTTATGGAGGTTTCTTCAGAGTCTGACTTTCCAATTTTCTGATACATGCACTCCGTCTAAAAGCTAACTCCACTTTGGCCCAAGGACAGCTACGTGTGCTGTTTGCTCGGAGACACATGGCTGTGCGCAGCTGCTTCTGATGATCTTAACCGAGAGGTCATTAGGTTTAGAGGATCACGATTTTCAGCTGCCCGTCAACTCTGAAGTTCAGAATTTTTGTGCAGAACTTCACGTACCAAAGAAACCATGAGCTGAAGAAGTGCCAGGTTTTGGGACAAATCTTGAATTTAAACTCTACCCCTCCCAACCAGTTTTCCCCTCTGCTCCAGCAAGCCCCGCCCACAAACAGACGCTCCTGCTCGCTCGTATCGTTCCAATTAAAATTCAGATATAATGCAGATAAATACTTCTGATAATTACAAATGGGGCCCAGTCAAGGTGAAAGTAAACAGCATTGGTGCTACTGTAGATGCCAACAGACTACCAGCAAACACAATGTTTGCAGGACTTCTACAACTAGGATAAAGTGACATAGTCCAGGACCCGAGGTCAACAGTTTAGTGGCGCTACAACATGCAGCAGGTCCCGTTTGACAAGAAACACTTCTGTTACAGACACTTGTCTTACTTTGTTAAAGCGGTTTACCTGTCCGGCAGAAAGGTTACAGGTTCTGGAAGATCCCGAAGCGTCCCCGATCATTTATGCTAGCTTCATTGACGTTGACCCTGCTTCATCGCTCTTGTCCGGTTGGTCTACCTCCGTTTTAAGTGCCCATTATTTTGCCAGAGTCTCCGGTATTTACTTTGCTTTCTTGTTTGTGTCGGCAGTCGTGGCCAAAGGAGGATTCAGACAATTTTCTGTTCTTTCTGGTTGGTTTCTACTGTCTGATATTGTTGCACGCTAACTTTGTTTGGGCTCGTGATTCGAGGACACAAAGGAGCAGCGTCCGCCTCACAACCAATTAGGTTGGGGAGGCGGAGAATGACTTTGTTTACAGTCAGAAAGATCGGACTGCTCAGACATAAGAGAACACAGAGATATCATGATATTCCCAAATGTCATCAATAACTAGTAGCTATTGACTGATATTAAAAGCTTACCCAACCTTTAAGTTTTAAACACAATCTTAAGTTTTTTACTTACAAATTAGAGATGTATATCTTTAGTTGTTACTCGATGTGGCGCAACCAGGCTATGCTCTTCAAAGTCACTCAATGTTGATCTCATTGAAATACTCTGACTGTGAAAAGAGCCCTTTGTGAAGAAATGTCCGCCAAGTTTTATGACCCCCTTTTAAAGACCACACGGTCCTTTAAAAAGGCGGCATTATGGGCAGCCATAGATCTCAGTCACACATACCTTACAGGAGTCAAAGTGTGGCGAAATACTCCAACAGCACTTGTAAATGATCCTCTGTGCGGCCTTAGCTGATGACTGTGACGTCCCCAGAAACAAATCTATCACCTGATTACCCTCTTAGCCTCGACGGAAACACACCGCCGTGGAAAAAAAGTCATAAACTGCCAAACTTGTCATATTGAAGAGCGCGGGGCCCGTACGTACTTCACACAATGGCTCTTGTGGCGCTCTCATTTGTCAGAGCAAGACAAACCTTAACTAAACGGCTGAACGAGGGAGCGGAGAAACCCCCCCAGGTTGGTCGGAGTGACAGAATGGGGAGTGACACTGCATAAACACACGCAGTGTTATATGTCAAGGGCTGCTTAGTATTAACAACCCCACTCCCAAAACAGGTTAAAAAGTGACGGGCTAGATCTAATTCAGTTGACCAAAGGGACAAATCCACCAACAGCTCAGATTTCCCATCTATCTTTACACGGATCCCAAGTGTGCCGTGACCTGCTCCGCCAAAATATACAGTCTGAGAGGTAATATTGAATCAGTCTGTAACACCTCATAAGACTCTCCTCCAGGCTACTTCATCACGTTGGCACTCTTCGCCTCCACCGCTCCAGCCCTGCCTGATAAATAATTACTCATCGGAGCCTTGACTTTTTCTTCGGTGGTGTTTGCATGCTGTCCCCTCGCTCAGCACCGTGGCACTCCGACGGCGTCAATTATTAACAAGCTGCTTTTTTGCTTCGGTGTGTACTTAGCCTGTGTGTGTTTTCGTAACTTGCTGTTGTTTCCAGGGCTCAAAAGTAAACCGAGGTGTTGCTGAGTTTTCCCTGCAATGATGTGGACTTTATGTGAGTGTGTGTGTTTGTGGACCTCTGAGCCTGATGGGTCGACGTCTGTAATGAGTGGGAGGTAAACAGGGGCGGGTTCTTATTTATTCATAAGGCAAACAGAGACTGTGCAGAGAATGGGAATTCATGGGATGATTAATTTAGAGCTATGTGTTTCGGGTCACACGGGCTAATTTCTCTCTAAAATGACAACTTCTCACTTTAACTTTGTCTCTCTCTTTAAGCCTGTTTATACACTCATCATTTCTACCATTTTGCAGTAACACAAAGCACAGTTTTTATCTGCTTTATACCGATGTTTAAGATCATGTTATTGAGGAATATTAGATTAGATTAGAAATGACTTTATGAAGACTTTTGAGAAGGTTCCCTTAATTAAATCAAAAGAATTATAGTTATGGGGCGCGCAGATGGCTGAGCAGGTTAGCGTGCCCCATGTATGGAGTCCAGCTCCGACCGTGTGCTACATGACCTCCCCCCTCTCTCCTCTCTCCCCACATTTTACCCTGTCCTATCGATAAAAAATAAACTTAAAAAGGCAAAAAATCGCCCAAAAAATACTTAAAAAAAAAGAATAATGGTTATAATAATAATTAACAGAAACAAAAAAGAGAATTTTCTAATAATAATAATAACTTAATTTATGTAGCAGTTTTAAAACCGGAGTTTACAAAGTGCTTTAACATGCAGGAAAACAAATAAAGATTAACAACAAGAGAACACTTTGGGGAAAGAGCACATGACTAAAACCGAGACTACATGTCCTAATGAGACATTGGCAATAAAAGAATAAAATTAAATTAAATGAAAATCGGTGGAAGACATTGAAGCTTTGATGAGTGTCACATGAACTGAGACGTAATTAAAACAAAGACATCATAAGAATCTGCGATACCACAAAATCCTGAGACCAAGGGGACTGATGTTTATAAAGGCATGTAAAAGAGAAGGAATAAGAACTAAAAACATTAAGAGAAATAAAATTGTAAATGAAAAATAAATGTGAAGGAGTAAGTCAGAGGAAAGGGACCTCTAAAGTGATAAAAGTTAAAAAAAAAAGTCATTAAAAACTATGATGGAAAAACAACATTGACTCTTGATAAAGTTTGGCGACACATCGCCACTTCCTGAACCAGAGTAAAACCAAACTACTCGCATGATAAACGCCAACATATTGACCATTTACACTCAGAATCTGCACACTGTGAATTTAGCCCCTTCTAGTTGTTGTTTTACCTGTATTTTTAATCCTATTGCAAATTTCTAAGGTATAGTAACGAAAATGTTTTGTTAGCTTTGTACACTTAAGTGGTGAAAAACTATCGGACAAGCAAAAAAGGATCAAAATATTCAACATGTTTGTACTTTAAGCCTAAGCATGCTAGTTAGAAGAGCTTAAACTTTGTGCTTAGCTAGCCTTTTTTGCCATATTCGCTTTTGTAACCAAAGCTAGCATTATTTTTTGGCTGTAGCGATTGACTCAATGCTGGTGTTTATCCTCTTAAGTGGCTTTTAAGAGGAACAGAATTGTTTTTTTCCCCAAATGTTTAACTTCACTGTTTGGACCATCAATTGTAGAACTATTTTAAAAAGCAGAAAAACCAAAAGGAAGTTGAACATGTTTGTCCAGTATTGAGTTGAAAGAGTTCAGTTGATTCAGATGTAACCCCAAACATATTTTGGTTTCTGAACAGCAAAATAACAACTTTATTTAAACTTTTGGGAAAGTTCCCTTGAGTGAATCAAAAGAATAATAGTTATAATAATTATTTATGGATACAAAAAAGAGAATTTTATCATTAAAAACAATCTTGACCGCTTGTAAAGTTGGGCATCACTTCTCCACCTCCTGAACCAAAGTGAACTCAAACCACTCCCATGATGGACGCCAACATATTGACCATTTACAGACCGGTCTTTGTCCTCTAAACTGGCTTTTAAAAGTAGAAGATTTCCTTTTTCCTAATGGTTAACTTCCCCGTTTGGACCATCAATTTTAAGACTATTTTAAAAAGCAGAAAAACCAAAAGGAAGTCGAACATTTTTGTCTAAATTCAAAATTACTGGCCTGTCAGATGAAAAAAAAATCAAGTATTGAGTTGTACGAGTTCAGCTGATTAAGAAGTAACCCCAAACATATTTTTGGTTCTGAAAAGCAAAATAAGTGCCCATACTCATTAAGAGGACTTTCATGAACAGGACCACAATATGAAGATCCAATCCTACCCTTTAGTGAGACTAAAAGGCTCCAGTGCACTCCTGTGCGCACGTTTTCGGGCTCTTCCCCCTCGGGCGATCTGGTCGTCTTGTTTAGACTTCTGTCACCCTGCTTTTCATCCAGGAGGAGGAAAATTTGAGCTCAGCATGAACACATATTAAATCATGTGTCAGGATCAATTATCACCCTTTGAGAAGCAGCAGCAGCAGCTCTTTTTTTGAAGGAGGGGAGATGCGTGAAAACTTGGAAGTCAAAACACACATGTCTGGAAGGAGTCCCGCTCCCAGACAATCTTAATTGCTAATTTAGTGTGTTGTCTGCTGCTCTCAGGGCACAGAAGTGACAGTTCAAAGAGCTGTGCCTCATTTTTTACTCTTAGT